GAGGAATTTTTCATGAGTGCCCATTGGACACTCTCAACATTTTTCTCAGTGTCATACCTAGCGGGCTGAGCCTTCATCTCCTTGATTCTGCCGATGCTCATTCTGGCTACAATATTGCCAAACAAAGCGAATAACAATAACTGCCTGCAATACCTTTAGCCAAAGGCCCTTTGCCTTTTGTAAAAATTTTCCTTCTTTCGTGAGGATGTTGGGCTTGTTGCGACAGAATTGTGAACCTCTTTCAAGTGAAGACGATTGTTAGAAGCAAATACTTTCCTCGCGTGCTAATGTCTTCTAGATTAAACCTCCACCTCGAGGATTATGATACCTGGATTCCGAAAAGATCCCTCGATGGAGTCCTCGGCCAGATCAGCCGTCTTTGCCTGCCAAATGAACACGTCCTTTTACAGTTGACTATCATTTTCCATTTGGGTAAACCATAATAAAAAAAACACGGTAATTTCTTATTTTTTCACTTGTAACAATGATAGTCCTAGTAGAGTCGCCGTTCCGCATTGTCGTAGTAGTAGTACGTGTTGTACTAAACTAACTTACATACCTAGCTGTGTCACGATGATGTGTGAATGTTCGCAACGAAACTTGCCGGTTGGCAAAAGCAGTTTGGCGCCTACTTTTCATTGTGCCAATGCCACCATTAGCGTGGTCGATGCAAGGCAACGCTACACCAATACATTCATACATACGTGTATATGAAAAGGACTATCAACGAACGCCATGCAGCGGCGGTGCTCAGAGGTCGTGTTGGTGTTAGGGACGTTCCGACAGCGCCGATTGTGGCGACAACGAGTTCAACGCGAATAATAGTTTATTAGTGGACGGACGGCGAACGAATGTTTTATATGCTTACATGTGTATTAGTGCACGTATGAGTATGTGTTGGCTGTTGCATACCGCAAGGCGCTAACATGTTTTCACCAAAGACCAAACTCATTCAGTACGTTATTGACGGCTCAACGAAACAGTTTCGAATATTATTTTGTGGAGTGCGCGCAAAAGGCGCGAACTGTATAAATTACAAGCAGGACATATGTGAATAGTGGAATAATCGTCTCTGTTTAGGGCAAAAAAAAAAGTGACAAAGAGCGAGAGATTTATGAAGCAATTTTGAAGGTGTTGCAATGTTAGTGGAAAATATTACTTGTAGTGGATTTTATTAGAAAAATTTTAAAATTGAAAATTATATATGTGCATAAGTAAATACATACTAGCAAAAAATATTCAATAAAAATTAATATTATTATTTTTAATTCTGTTGTTTCTTTTTTAAAATATCTTTAATTCTAAGAGCTCAGTACACTATTTATTTCTTTAGTTATTTTGAAATAAGTTATTGCTCACCATTTTTTGAATATAATTTTTTAATAAGAAAATAATAATTTAAATGGTTTTCTTTTAATTTTTAAAAGTTTTCATTGTACCTATTTTTCCCATTTTTTATTATAATACTCAAATATTTTTTGAAGAGGTTCATTAGTTAAACAAAATTTTATTTTTCAATTTATTTCATTTTTATGTTTACTTGAACATCAGAAAAAGTCATATAAAAATTAATTTTATAATTAAAAAAAAAGAATTTATAAAAAAAATTGTAAAAATAGAAGTGAACAGAAACATAAAACATTCTAAAATAAAAATCAAAAAAATGTCAAAAAACTATTTAATTTTTTTTTGATATATACAAAAAAAAACTTCTGAATTATATTCTAAAATGTTGAAAAAAAAATAAATTAAAAATTATGAATTATGAAATTATTTAAAAAATGGAATAATTGCGTATCCTAATAATAAGCCAATTTATCCTTTTTTAAATTTCGAATTTTTTTAATTAAAAAACAATTCTTTAGTAATTCAAAAATTATATGTGATTAGATTAATTTAGAGTTCCAAAGGGAAGGTAGGATTTATAATTAATATTTTTTTTTAATTATTGAAAAATAATTTATATTTTTAATTAAAAAATTGCTTCAAAATTTATTTTTCATGTGTTTATTTCTATGCTTAATTAATTTAACTAAGAATTGGTTGGTGAAACAAAATTTTTGTAATTAAAACTAATGAAAAAAATAATTCAAATAAATTAACACATAATTTTATGCTTTTTAATAATTACGAAGTTATTTTTTCCACAATAAGAACAATTTTTCACATTTTCCTTAAAATACATAAAAATTCATGATTAGTTTTTCAATCAACCAACAAATCTGTCTGCAGTTTTTAATGAGTTTAATTAATATTTTTAAATGAGATTTCATCAGAACGTTCATCAAATTAGTCACAAATTATTGAATATTAAAAGAAACAATAGTGTATTTAAAACGACAAATATTTATTTAAAAAATTTTATTCAATGTTTTTTTTTGTAAAAATTAAGATTCTACTAAAAATAAAGGTTTTTAATAAATTTAGAAAAATAATAACAGAATCATTGCTCATAAAGTTACTACATTTAAACTTTTTGTTACATTAAAATAATTTTCAATCAACATTCAAGCTATAAAAAAACCAACGTTTCAATATTGAAACCAAAATAAAATCAATATTAAAATTAAATTTGAAATTAAAATAAAATTTACTAATTTTTATTTCAAAGAAAAAATAGAATTAAAGAAAAATTAAAATGAGAATTAAAATTAAAATTAAAATTAAAATTAAAATTTAAATTTAAATTTAAATTAAAATTAAAATTAAAATTAAAATTAAAATTAAAACAAGAATTAAAATTTAAATTAATATAAAAATTGAAATTAAGCTTATTTGGTATTTAAATTTAAAGTCAAAATCAAAATAAAGCTGAAGTAAAAATAAACATTTTAAATTTAAATTCAAGAAGCTCAATTTTCATAGTTCAATAAAGACTACACAAAAGCGCATAAAAATAGTGCCAAGAGCTTTCCTTAACCTTCTTCATAGAATGCTTTTCATTAAGATATTATATTTATAAAGCAGCAGTATGTGTGTGTACCTTCTCACACTACATGTGTATAAATAACCATACATACTTAGATTTGTTTGTCTTTTCACATATGTATGTATGTATGTATGTATAAATATTTTTTTAATACATATACAGATATACATGCGAATAACACATGTTTGCCTAATCATTTAATTAACTCAGTATGTATAATTTTGTTTTTTTTTATTTTTCCTTTTTGTTGTTCTTGTTTATTCGTTTTCTCCCGTTTTTTGCTAGTATTTTATATCTATTGATTTTATAGCTAGTTGTGTCGTTCATATGCAATTACTAAGCATTCGCAGAAACTCTACATACACACATATATGAATAGATACAAACATGCACATACACATAATATAAACAAACAAAGAATAAATATTGTTGAAAAGTAAAAAAGGATTATAGTGCTGCAAGGATTACAAGTGTTTGCATGTATGTATGTATGTATGTGTGTTTGTCTATTAATGTCTGCATGATGTTGTCAATGAAAAATGCACAAATAAGAAAAATCACAACAACAATTGGCAAACAACATTACAAAGCAAACTTCGATTAGCAAATAGAGCAGGGAAATGGATTTTCTCAACTGTCGATGAGTAGCTGCTGCTGCTGCTGCTGCTGCTTTTAGTGCACAATTTCAAACCGAATTTTCATAGTAAATAAATAAAGCTAAATACCAGCTAAAATTCCTCATAATCCTTAATTATATCATAATAAAAACAGATTTTCGTGCATTAAAAATTTTAACAGAAAGCTCAGTAGAAATTTTACGTTTATTGCTGAATATTTAAGGCACAAGACTACTAATGTAGTTATGTATGTACGAATGTTTAGTGAGAAATGCATTTAGAAATGTTTTAAACTCTCGATTGTTATACATACATACATTTCTATATAATTTCTGCTCTTTTGAAGATTTTTGAAAAATATTTTTTTCTTCTCCGAATAAAGTGTTTATACGTTTATACTGACACGAAAGAATTGCCAAAAATGTAATATTTAAAGCTAATGGACATCAACTATTATAAATTGTACAATAGTATCAAAAAAAAATTACTAACAAATCGAGTATTTTCAAATTATACTCCAAGCAAGCTTTGTAAACTTTTTAAAACCTTCCAAAATCCAAAAAAAATTACCTTAAATGTTATTATTCTGCTCTGCCGTGCGACTTTGATAGTTTTTTAATATTTTGTGTATAGAAATTAATTCAAGAAGATATAGTAATTGTAGCTTAGTAAACTTCGCGAATATCTTTAGTTGCAGCGCCTACTGTTTTTCATTTGAAGAATTCGTATAACATAATATGACGCATATGATCTTTTTCGTTGTCCATCTTCCATGCGTCTTTTCACCAAGCAACTCAAATCAAAATAAAGTTATTTTATGCTTGATTTACAGTTCGGACTGTCACCTTTCCAACGATATATAATATGTATATATTTCTTTCACGAGCGCCACTCTCAAACGATTCGAACGGCATCCAGCAGAATCGGGCACGAACTTATGCACTCATCCAATATTATGTTCGGTTATGGTGGCTACCGAGCTATCACCACGTTCACACTTAGACCTGACTAAGACCCTTTGTGCTGCCACAAAAGCTTGACCACTAGGCCTTATTACATCCAATGCTTCCAATAACCATTCAGGCGTAGACCCCTAAAGTTCCGAAACTTAACACAGCCAAAATCAGGGCAATCGCATCCCAGCAGACAATGGACTGTGTTTGGCTTTTGACTTGCCGCTAATGAGCGAAAAAGATTTATTTGAGAAAGAGTGTTATAATCTGTTTAGTATTTATTTTCAAATAGAAAATTAGAAAATAATTTCTGTATAAAATAAAACGGTGAAACTAGCATATAAAACCAAAAAATAACATTTCATTCATGCTCTCATATTATTCGATAGTTTTACAAACATTTTCATTTTTATTTTTTTCTTTTTAATAAGAATAAATTAAGGCTAATTTTTCTAAGAACCTGAAAAAAATGTATTAATTTTTTTTACAAATGTTTCTCAGTTTTTTGTTCCAAGTAAATCGCTGCTGAGAACTATCGCAAAAAAAATGTCCTTCCTCTCACCATCATTGAGGTTAGAAAACCTCCCTAGCGAACCCATCATGACCCTCGACCATATACCAGAAGAGAAACGTTACAACAAAAATAATATTGTGGCCAAATGGTGTGCACCGATCAATGGCAAAATGTATCGTATCGAGTTGGAGCATGGCACCACCACTGGCAGGCGTATGATATGGGTTAATGGCAAGGTATGGAAAGATAATGACGAAAAAAAATTGTGTTAAATTAAAAACAGAACAAACTAAATAAATGCAAATAAAAAGTGTTAATAAATAAATAAGTTATATAATAATAAAAATACAAACAAAATATAAAAAAAAAATAAAGTAAAATATAAACAATATGAAGAATTCAAACCAAAATAAAACGAAACTAAATTAAAAAATAAATAAAATAAAATGAAATAACATAAAAAAATTAAAAACAAAATTAAAAAAGTTGTACAAAAGAATACAAATTAAAAAAAAAAAAAAATATTATAAAATAATTTAAAGTAAAATAAAGTAGGACAGAAGAATATAAATTAAAATAAAAATAACTGAAGAAATTAAATTAAAATAGAGTTAAATGAAATAATTTAAAAAAAATTAAAATTAATTCCAAAGAACTAATGAACTGAATAAAATGATAAATAAATTAAATTAAATAAAAAGAAAGTAAAATAAACTAAAATAAATTCAACTTAAATAAGAAAAAATTAAAATTAAATAAAAAAATAGATTAAATTGAAGCCTTAAGTAAAAATATAAATAAAATATGAAATTTAATAAATAATAAAATAAATAATAATAATCGAAGAAAATGAAACAAAATATAAAGTTGAATGAAACTTAAATTTATTTAAATGCAGTAAAGAACTAAAATAACATAATAAAAAAATAAGCAATAAATTGAAAAAATTGTCAAAAGAAAATTAATTTAAATATTGCAAAAATAAAATTAGATAATAAATAATATAAAATAGAATTTACAAACAGAAATAAAATAAAAAAGAATAAGATAAAATATATACAAAATAAAAAATAAAATTAAAAAATAAAATAATATAAATTGAAAGAAAATAAAAAAAACTAAAAAAAACGAATTAAAAAATTACAAATTAAATTAAATTAAATAAAATTATATAAAAAATAAAACAAAATGAAATATAGTTAATTTGAAAATAGAAAAAAAAAAATAATTAAAATAATTAAATAACTAATAATTAATAATTATTATTAATAATTAATATTTTATAATAAAATGAAATGAAATTGCAAAGCGAAACAAAATAACCTAAAACTAAATATCTCTCTTTTTCTCTCAATCTTTAAAATCACACACACTCTTCATAACCTCACTTTTGCCTTGCAAATGTTTCCAGGAGGTTCTACGTCGCGATTGGATGTTCAAATTGGTTGGTGAAGATACATTTTACATCGACCAGGCACGTTGCATAATACGCGTAGACCCAGCGCCAGGTTTCCGTTATGAATACTCACTCTATATCGATGGCAAGCCACACGAACAGTACACCGATGAGCTAACAAAACAATATCGCCTGTGGTTGGTCAGCATTGAGGATAATGAATATCGTATAATGTTGGAATTGGATACGGTGAATTTGTTTGTGAACGATCAGCTGAGAACCGAAACGGTGAGTACGAGAATGAACGTAGATAAAACTTATTAGAAACAAAATACAAAACTATGTATTAAATAATAAATAATAAAAAATTTTTGTATCGATTTCTTAGGGCGAATTCGTCGATGGCGGCACAGATACCAAGTTCACCGAGAATGGCAATGAATTCATTCTACAAGCGCGTTCGAGTGGAAATAAATTAGATGGCCTCACACATACACTCATAGCGAATGGCGAAGTGATACCTGAGGCGAAGATTTTAGAAGTTATGCAAGAACCCTTTTCGATTTTATCATCTACCTAATGGAGGTGTGTGCTTGGTGCATGAGCATATGAAATGTGTACTTTTTTTGTAAAGACTGTTTGTGAATATTTTTGTTTTTTACTATTAAGTATAAAAAGTGATATGAAAGCAGAAATATATATATAAATAACGATTAAATAGAAAATATTGAGCATTATTTTTCGATTTTTTCTTTGTAAACTGCCTCGGTAAAATCGGCGGGGTTACAGTACCTTAGGTTTTTAGGTTAGATCAGCGCTCACCAAATTCCCACTGAATGATATTTCGTCAAACAAATAAGAGGTGTGGGCAAACTGAGCATAACGATGCCTAAAACAACCTTTCTTTTGCATTGTGAACTATTACCTTGTTACTGATTTTTAATTATTTTCAGTTCTACAAACCCATGCAACTCCTTTTTGAAGAAAAGACTCCAGGTAGTATTATTTTTATTATTTTATTTTTAATTTTTTTAATTTATGTATGTTTTGTAAGTATATATTTATATAATTAGTGTTCAACCTCGTTAGTTGTCGTTTATTATATAATTTTTTTAATTGCTCATATTTGTTAAATCGAAAATTTATATAATTAATATAAATAAGGATTTTCTTCTGAAAACTTTTTTATAATATTTTTTCTTTTTTTTTTTTGTTGCTGCTAAATAACTACATACATATTTTTAAGTGCGTTATGCTTGAATGCATATAATGTATATAAATAATTTTTTTAGTGATTTAATTATAGTTTCAATGAAATAATCACATAATAATATAATTATACGTATCGAAATATGTTTGTATGTAAATTTAATTTAATTAAAATTTGAAGGCAAATAGCAGCGGACGAGTGAATAAGTGAGTACATCAGGTAAATAGTGTGTGCTAATATAAATAACAATAATAATAATACAGGGAATAGAAGTGTAATAAAAAATTAGGAAAAAAATTCTGGCGATTTTTATAAAATATTTTTTTTTTTAATGAATTAAACCATTTTTAATGAAATTAAGTTTTCCCAAAATTATTTTAAATTTGATATTGTTAATTATAAATATTATAAGGTGGCTTAACAGAAAATAGTTTTTAGTTTTTAACTTTGAAAAATTTTTTTTTTAATTTGAATTTGGTACATGCAAAATGGAATTATTACTTTTTCAAATCATGAAAGATATTTTAGCTTTTTTTAATTATGCTTTTTTCAATTTGAAATTAAAAAAATAATACATAGATACAACATTTTATCTAGTAAAATTCGAACGTAGGCAGTGGTGTGCATTGTTTGATGGACAAATATTTTTTTCCAATTCGTTTGGTTTTTCTAAAAGATTTTGTTTTTTCGAAAAGTAATGAATTTTTAGTGAGAAAATTCTGACTTTTCTAAGCTTTTCCCCAATTTTTCATCTCTGAAAGAAAAAAATTCGTTTCGGGAATTCAAGAAAATTCGATTTTAGCGAAAAATTTCCAAAAAAATTTTTTTTAATAATACACAATTTTATAACATACACAATAAACTTTTTCGAAATTTTCAATTTCGAGTCAGACGAGAAGATTCACGAATGAAAAGTGTGAAAATAATGATTTTTACTATAAAAAAATTTGCGAATAACTGCCGCAAATTTTGAAATATAAATATTTCTAAACTAAGCATTTTTTCGAATTACGAAAATCAGAAATAAGTTTTTTTTTTCAAATTTACAAAAAATACGAAAACTCTTTTGAAACTTAGCAAATATAATATGTAATATTCTGCTATAAACACACATATATAATATTTTCCGAAAATTCGAACTCCTCAAAGGAAAATTATCATCCCAAAAATCGTTACATATTTCTATTTCAGGCGTAAAATTTGAATATCAGCAAATTCCAATACTTCGAAACTAGATTTTTTCCAAAAATATACGTTTTCGAATACCTAGTTTTTTTCGAAATTTTAAAATTGTTTCGATTTTTTGAAAGTCATGAAAAATTTATTTGCATTTAAAAAATACGTTATTCAAAAAAGTTTATTTTGAGAGCTGAACCATTGCAATTCTATTATTAAATTCTCTTCTTTCTGTTGGAGTTACTAAACTGAGAGAAATTACAGTGATAAATACAATATTTCGAACTTAAAACATATATTTTTTCGAAGTATAGTATTTACAAATAATTTTTTCTCTACAAAAACGCTTTTGTTCCCTCGCTGTTTTCTCTATTCACGCTTTGGCAGGCATGGCTTATATGCCAGGTTACGGCTTTTGACTGGTATGACTCTCATTCCATGTTAGTTCTAACGAAAATGAAAATGATAATATTAATCCCGATAGCTTCAAGTTCAAAGAGTGACTCACTCACCTCGGGCAGCGGATAAGAAATCTTATGCTGTTGGTACGCATCTGAGCTATTTTCAGTAGAAGTCAAATGAGGTCTGAGGTCTGAAAAGACATTTACTAGTTAGCTATAAACAGTTCTTTAAAATAAAGCGTAGTTGGAAGCATTTTGGGAAGCTTTGTCAGGCACTCCACTTAATTAAGAGAACAGCTGTTGCGCTAAATACTTGACAATATTCTCTGGTACTACTTTGTCTGAACGCAGTTTCGATCATGAAAGAGCGCTGAGGATCTAATGAACACCTTCGATCTTAGCCAAATTTAATTAAATTTCAAGAAAAAGTTGCATTCATTGCCCACCACTGCCTGAAACTAGAAAAATAATGAAAGAAAATTCCGTACCGTGAAAAAGACTGAGAAAGAATTGCGAAATTCCCCGTAGAATGTGCGATCTCAGAGAACAAAAGAGAAAGAGAGTGGCTTACTATTTTTTATTTTCGACTCTCGTTCAGCTGCTGCTCTTCACGCTAAACTCTCATCTTTTAATCTTAAATTACAATAAGTAATTTGCACATATACGCACAGGAATGCAAAAACAAACAAACAAAAAATACGATTTTATACTTTTCAGTTTAAATGTGAATTTATTTAAATTTTACATTACTTTTGCTATTCACAGAATTTTCGAATTCCAACATAATTATCGTGTTGTAGTTTAGCATAAGAGTATGTTGTTGTTCTTGTTGTTGCTGTTGTATATATATGTATGTACTCGTATGTGCTTAGTTTAATTGAAACTTTAAAAGTTGCTTTCACTTTGATTTTAAGACTTTTTTCATTCTCTTTTTTCTATGCTTTGTCCTTTGTATGTTTTAATCATTATTTTTTGTATTTATATATTTTTTTGTATATAATAAGGGTGTTGTTTCTTTTAGAATATTCAATTATTATTTTTTTTTTTTTAATTTTTGCTGTTTATTTTTTCGCTTAAGTCACTACACAGTATTAAATTATATATTCATAACATTGCATATTCATATGTAAAAAATAAAAATAGATTACAGGAATAGAAAAATTAAAATTTGTTAAAATGTAAATATTATTGAAAAAAAATATTAAAATAACATCACGTTAAGTACAATTGGAATGTGTTCGAAGTTTGCGCATTTGAGCCCATTTGAATTTAGATTACATACATTACACATATTGACGCTTTTTATGATAGCTACGAGCTTTTCGGAGAGTATATTTGTAATTTTATTTTCTCGAATTTTCTATTAAAAATATAAGCAATTCAAACATAGTCGTTAATTAATTTTTTTCTTTATTGTTACGAATTTTTGTGAAATATAAATTAAAAAAAAAAATGGATAAAATTTTAAATTTTAATAAATTAATAATATTAAAATAAAGATAGTTTAATTAAAAAAGTGAAATAAAAATATAATGAATTTAAAAAAACTATAAAAAAAAATTAATATTAAATAAAAAAAAAAATCTGTTAGCACATGTGTACCGTTGTAGCTTAGATCAAAATGAGTTAATTGCGTTAAAAGACATAACAAGAAGGAATACTGGCTTACAGCAAAGCAGCTTTGTATGTTTAAAACTAAGATTTTGTATATCACTGTTACACATCCGAAGTTTTTGTGTCCGACACGATCGCGATTTATGCCAAAATGTCCGTTTCATTTACACAACAATGGCTTGCCAACCCATAACGACTCCAAAAAAATTGTCTTCGAGATATATTTACTTGCTGTTTCAATAACAACAATTAAAATGAAATATCTTGCATTAGTTCTCACAGCAACCCAACTTTCGGCATATAAGTGACCTTAATTGCCTTCTACTCAAAGGTGCGAATAATTCTTCCAAAAGTTTTAGTAAAATATTTTTGACACAAACTACAAGTGAGTGCAAGAAATACAGCTTTTTGTATGTTTGTATAAAAGCTTTCATGTTTTTCACATCAGAAATGCTTCACTTGACAACTCATCTACTTCGTGTGCTTGCCACTTAAGTTCAGTGCACTTTATTTTCATCTAAAATATTAAATTTTCAAAATACCCAATTAAATGTCTTATTACAGAAGTTTCTTTACGGCTTCTGTTGGGTTGAAAATACCAAAAAAAAAAAAAAAAAAAATATAGCAAAAAAAATTAAGTTGTCACAGGCGTCTCTTCGCGTTTATTTTACTATTTTTCTTCTACCGCGATCACAAGCTTACTAACTAACAACGGCACACATGCGCACACTAAACAGTATCAACAATAATTGCTATACAATAGTTTTTTTTTTTTTTTGCTGTTTTGTTTTTGTTTTTCAAAGTCTCAAATAATTTCATACACTTATGCACTTTCACAATATTATTTAAAAGTGTTTTAGAATTTACTTTTGCTTGCTTACATATTTAATATTTAGTATTAGTAATAATAATAAAGATAATAATAAAGATAATAATAATAATAATAGTAATAGTAGTTAGTTAGTTTTTTTTGTTTTTTTTTTTGCTTTCATTTACTTTTGCTTTAGTCGCCATAGTTGCAATGCAATACACAATACATATTTTTAGTTTTATATGTGTATTAATTTTAATTTTTAAATTTATTTAGCAATATAATAATCTAGTTTAAAGTACCATCATTATTACGTGTTATGTAATTTGTGAGTGAATTGTGTGTTTGTTTTATTTCTATTATTTATTTTTATAATTTTTTTCCAAGTTAAAAAGTAAAACGTTTTTGAAAATTCTAACATCATTTTCGTTCGCTATAATTATTTATTCAGTTACTATGTTAAATCTTAACTGCTCGCTTGCCGTTACAAATACACACATACATTTATTAACTGTAATTACAATACTTTTTGCATGCCTTACATTAATTTATTTGCTTTTTTATCATTTTTTTTGTTAATTTTTTCTTTTACTCTAATATTTTCGTTTACTATAATACGCTAATATGTATGTATATATTTATGTATATGAAATTTTTTTTGTATTTTATGAATTTACGCCAACATGCTTTGCTTTTGCTAAAATGTCATCATAATATTACTGTTGTTATTAGTGTTTTTTTTTTTGGAATTTCATTAAGTTGTTACCGTTATTTGCTACTATTAAAAAACCTTTCAGTTGCATCTTAACATTAACTACTACAGTTCTCTTCGCGCATGCATACATACATTAACCGTAAGTGTTTTTTCTTTTAATTTTGCTTGTCAATTTTTTAATGACCACTTTATCTCTATCTTTATCATTTAGCACTTAAACTCATCATCAATGTGTATTTGCAATATTTTTATTTTTGTTTTTTATATTTTTTATAAATTTGTATTCACATCAGCAGGTTTTGGAATCCACAATTAATCACACACACCCACCATATCGCTGAGTTTTTGAGTTTTTCTAATAAAAAAAAAATAAATAGAAAATGTGAAACATAGTTACAACGCGTTAGCAGCCAAAAAGGATGTGATGCATGTGACAAAAACATTGAAAATATTTTTATTTTTCTACTTTGAAAAAAGCTTATTCCAAATAAAAGAAACACCGAAAATTTTACAATTATTTTACATTTTTAATTTAAATTTCTAACGAAATATGAAATGTCTTGGTTGAAAAGCAATGAAAAACTTTCCGAAACCCTAAAAGAATGCTATGATAAATCAGATACTATATATGTAGCTTCTATAAGATATGCACATACTGAAATTGAAAGTTCAAAGTTTTATATAAAAAGTATAATATTAAAAAAAAAACATATTTGAAATGAAATGTTTAAAATTTCAAACAAAGAGCACAATGTAGCAGAATTTTGCTTAAAACGTTGCTAGAAAACTTTGAGAAGCCCAAATATTCTAAACCTTGTAAAAATTATAAATTTCTTCTATAAAAAAAAATATTTTTGAACCTTTTCGTCTTAATTTAACAATTTGTTTCTATTTTAAAACCGTTTGCAACATTTCTTACAGCCTGAAAGTAGGCAATACACCATAAAATAAATCGGTTTTTAAAAAACAAAAGAAGAAGAACTTTTTTACCATATTTTTTTTTAGAAGAATACTTCACAAAATTTGTTTAAAAAAGAATTTACATAAATATTGCTGGAACACATTAAAATCTTTCAAAATTTCCTATCTATACAACTTTATTTTATCTTCTCTTATTCATTTTTCGTAACCCTTTCGTTTTACTATCCCTCTATAAACTTAGCAAAGATCTAAACTTTTTCTTTGAAAACTCCGTAGTGATGGGTTCGTTTTGCTTCATAACAACAAAAATTCATAAAATTTTAGATAATAGAAGCAAAAACAGAACGAAAAAACACTGGCAAAAATTTATTGGAAAAGAAAATGTAATATTTTTCGAGCAATGTTAAAACGCCACTAATCCGTTTTTTTTTTTTTGGGAAATTTGATACTAAATTTTTATAAAAAAAAAATTTTCAAATGCCATTTCGCACCATTTGCGCTACTCAAAAACTAAACTAAGGAAATTAGTAGATGTGCCAGCCTATAAGTATGCAACGAAATATTGCAGGCATCAACAATCACGCAAAATCAGAGGAAATAACTATCAGAAAAATAAATCTTGTATACCAATCAATGATGCATGAAAAATTAAAAGCTAAAAAAACATGGAATTCATTTAGCTTTAAAGTAGCTTTCAAAACTTTTTTTTTTTAATTTACAGTTTACACTAATATCCTGCTTTAATCCTGCTTTCTATAGCACGCATACAGGCATTGTAGTAGTAATTGTTGTGGCTGCTGTTTGCTGTTGCTGTTGCTGCTGTAGTAGCTGTTTGTCACAAAATTTTGTTCGTAAGTCGTATTGCTAGTGTTTACTCGTCTTCGCACATATGCATGTACATATATGTATGTATGTATGTAGTATGTATTTCATCAGCATTAACCATATTTTGTTCGAATTACTTTTTCTTTATTGCTGTTTTAACTTTTTTGTTGCTTTCCTTACTTTTTTTTGTTTAACACTAATTATTTTCATATTGCGCTTTACTGTTGCTTTTGCTTTTATTTTTCTTCTCACTTTTTTTTTTTTTTTTTTTTTTTTTTTTTTTTTTTTTTTTTTTTTTTTTTTTTTTTTTTTTTGGTTTTCACTTATTTGTTTTCAATTTGTTTTCTTTCTTCAATTACTATTGTTTGTTTTTATTTTAATTTAATGGAAGGCAAAACATGTGCTGCAGTAGACTTTTATTATTATTGGAATTATGATTATGATTATTATTGTTACCGTTATGATGATTATTCTGACTATGATGATTGGGATTCTGATTTAGTGGCGGCAATTGATATTGCTGTTGTTGCTGCTGCTGCTGCTGGTGATGTTGCGGTAAATGTTGTTGTTGTTGCATACGAATATTCGTAAAATTATTATTAGCAGTTGTCGATGGCGCTGCATGCAATTGTAAAATACTTAAATCATCAGCTACAGAGTCATAATCACTGGAGTCCTCGCCATATAACTGCAAACGGGAGGGGGAGAGAGAGAGAGAGACGAATGACAATATAAGAATAAGAATAAAAATATAAAATACACTCACTAAAGAGTGTATATGCACTTACACGCATATTATAGGGATGCAAATCACATGACTCGTGGTGTCAGACGCAGTCCTCCAAGGACATCAGCAGCGGATTCACATATTCGAAACCTTCGAATTCCGATTGATCTATCTTGTCGATGACGCGACTGTGTGGAAAGTGTTGGAAGAAAAGTAATTAAAATATTTTGTTGATAATAAGAGAAAATAAAAATTTAACATGATTAATTAACATGATTGCAATGAGATGGAAAACAAAAAAAAAAAATTAAATAAAAAATAAAAAACTGTAACATACAGACATATAAATATAGAAGTGAAGCAGATTATTAAAAATATATATATACATATTAAAAAAAATATTTATTTTGAACTACCAAACACTCTTTGCTTTTACATCGAAAAATCATTCACAAACTACTTACTCATCATCGGGCGTCAGCTGTACAGCTTCCTCTGTGAATTCGGGTGGGAAATTGGCTAAATCACGATCAGAGTCTAAGCGTGGCTTGAATGGTGGTGAAACTTGTTTGCGTTCGAGCTAAGGTTGAACGCATGCATGGTAATAAATGCAGTGTTTGCCAATTTATATTTTTATTTTATTTTTATTTTTTGATGATTTGCATTGATTGATGATTGTTGTGTGGATTGATTGATTGTACGATGAATGCATATAAAACGGATGTTCGAGATAGATATAGTTGATGATTTTGCAGACAGTTCCAATAGTGGCATGATTGTGTAGAGCGCAAAGAATTGCACATAAGCGGTTGAAGGAAATAAAATTATTAATAATTAGTAAAGAAATCATAAAACAAAAAATAAATAAATAAATAATAGTATATTAGTTTTGGGCTTGAAGCTATATTTGGTGGTAATTTTAATTTCCTTTTTTCCTTTTCCTTTATTTTTCCGAAGTTGTCTTATTTTTTTTTTACTTATTTTTCACAAGTTTTAACTTTTGCCAATTTCTTTAGATTTTTTTTTGTGGTAAAATTTAGTTTTTTTTGCAATTTTTTTGAGATTTGTATTTGTATTTTTTTTAACAAAATAACTACCAATCATAGTAATTTTTCAACAAAATTTTTCAAAATTAAATATAGTTTTCTTGAGTAAATAAATTAACGCTTTGAATTGGTAACCCAGCGTGGACAGCTTTTTTAATTTTATTTTTTTCTTTATAGAAAGCAGTTTGAAATTTATTGTCTTTAATGAGATGCGACTTTGAAATGCATATGTGAAACAAGAATGATTATATATTATATCATAGTTTAGATTTATGTGAAGCAGTTTACATAAAATTGAGGTTTTTTCACTTTTAAGACAGTTGCTATAATTTAAAGAAAAAAGTTATAGCAAAGATGCTTAGAGTAGAACAGAGTGCGCCTTAAAGTTGAAATTACAAGCGCTTATTCTAATTATAAGGTGAATTCAGTTCATAGGCTATAGGCTATAGTGTTTTTCAAATTATTCAAAATAGATACAGTTCGTCAGAATATAGTTGGAAACATATTATTTATTTTTATAAATATAAATATATTTATTTAGTTTTTATTTATATTTTTTCATTATCTTTTCATTTTTGAAAATGTTTATTTTTAATACCTATTTATTTATTTACTATAAATTGTTTATAATTTATTTGCTTTTCTTATTTATTTTTCATTATTATTTATTTTTTATTATTTTTTATTTTTTACCATTATGTTTTTTATTATTATTTGTTTTTTTATATTATTTTTTTATTATTATTTATTTTTTATTATTAATTATTTTTTATTATTATATGTTTTTTATTATTAATTGTTTTTTTATTATTTTTATTTATTTTTTATTATTATTTATTATTTATTGTTTTATTATTATTTATTTTTGTCATTACTTATTGTTTTATTATTATTTATTTTTTATCATTAATTATTATTTATTATTAATTGTTTTTTATTAATTTTTATTATTAATTGTTTTTTATTATTTTTTACTATTAATTGTTTTTTATTATTTTTTTAATTTTTAATATCATTTTTTTATTATTATTATTTTGTTTTATTTTTTATTATTTTTCTTTATTATTATTATTTATTTTTTTATTATTATTTATTATTTATTTTTTATTATTTATTTTTTATTATTTATTTTTATTATTTATTTTTATTATTTATTTTTATTATTTATTTTTATTATTTATTTTTTATTATTTATTTTTATTATTTATTTTTTATTTTTCATTATTGTTTATTTTTTGATTGATATTTCCTTTTTTATTAATGTTTTTATATTGTTATTATATTATTAATTTATTATTAATTTAATGTTATTACTTTTTAATGCTTTCTTAGTTCTTTATTTTTTTATTGTTTTTTATTTTTTTTTTTAATTTTTTCATATTTAGTTTTTATATTAATTTAATGTTAGTTTTCATTTAATGTTTAATTGTTTAAATAATGCATATTAATTAATCAATGTATATGTATTTTAAAAATAATGCTGTTTAAAAATATTAAATATTTAGTAAAAAAAATACATATAATTTACATAAAAATAAGTTTAAAATATTCTTATGCCAGACATGCAGTCAAAAAGTACAGAATATATCAAAAGTCTAATCATATAACTTTTTTGTTGTTATTATTATTGATGTATTAACTTTAAGGATGTTTTTCCCTTTATAAAGAAAAAATAAAAGTGTATAGAAAAAAATTAAAATATTTTAAAATTACACATCTTATTTTTTCAACACAAAAAAAAATATATATTTATATAAATATAAAGAAATATATTAAAAAGTATGAAAAAATTATTGCTAATGAATAGAGAACGTGGAATGACTAAGAGGGATTCAATAGCAGCGTTATTAATTAGGAGAATTGTTGAGTACATTTCAGCAAGCTATAACAAACAAGAACCAACAAGAAGTAAAAAAGCATTGGTTCATATTAGCTTAGCTCATTTCTATACGCTCCTCAACAAAAGACTTCTGCCGCTGAACCCTTTTAAATCCTTTTGATCCTCCCTAATTATGAGAAGCGAAACGAAACCAATCCACCACACTTCTTGACTTCATGTACTACCAATAACACACTTACGGATCGTCTGGCGTTAACTCAGCTGGTTCTCTAGTAAATTGTGCATCAAAATTGGTTGTCATATATGGATCGCTAGTATCAAATGTTGGCTTATATGGTGGTTGTACTTCCTTTTGCGCAATCTTAATATTAATTTTTTATTATTGTCATTTTTTTTTTGTTTAATCAAATGAAATTAATCAAAAATACTGATAATAAAAATTTGCCTTCATCAAATAAGAAGGTTTTTAAAAATTAAGCTTCTTTAAAAGTCATTTGGACCAGAAAACGAGTTAATTTAGGAATTATTTTGCCAAAATGAATGAATAAAATAGCGGAATTAAGCTTTATATAATTCAGCTCATCAGCTCATTCCGCAATAATTCTTTTGTGCCCACATTCATTTTTACAATACAACTTGCCTGTCCCTTCATCTTCATATAATCTTCTTCTGCTTGCATAAATGGCGTTGTAAATCAAAAACTAATTATTTTCCATTTCAATGAGCCATAAAAATAAACCTTTTAGCTATAACTGTTTACATAGATATATAATTAACTAGAATAATCATCAATTTTCACACATGCAATTTTTTTCAAATTACTTTCATCGTTATTTCTTCATTAAGAATGTTTATTCAAGGAACCGATTATCACTTCAAGCCAATATAATTTCTTTCAGATTGTATTACATTTTAAAAACTACAACTATGCATTAAGCCACTCACCATTTCCCAGTCAATACTCTTGAAGAACGGATGGTTCACAATATCCATAAAAGCAGATTCACGATGGCAACCCAAACGATCAGCTGGATTTTTATTAAGGAAACCTTTCAATACAGACGCTGCCTTGACGCTTAACGAACGCGGTATACGTATGGTCTTCTCCAAAATTACTTGGAAGAGATAATCTTCAGTGTTCTATGAGCAGAAAAGAGATTTTTTTTTAATATTTAATGAATACTCTGGAGATAAAATACAAAAATGTTACTTGATCGGGATTCTCGGATGCGCCTGCTATATCGAATGGACTGCGACCGGCCAACATCTCGTACAATAACACACCCAACGCCCACCAATCCACTGAGAAACCATAGTCTTCGCCACGCAATATCTCTGGCGCTATATAATTGGGTGTGCCACAGAATGTGGAGGTTGTGTCACCAGGACGTATACCCTCCTTGCACATACCATAATCGGTTAACTTGATGTGACCCTCATGATCCAACAGCACATTGTCCAACTTCAAGTCACGATATATAATACCTTTTTCATGCAAGAAATTCAATGCCAAACTGATCTCTGCCGCATAGAAACGCGCATGCTCTTCGGGTAGACGACGTTGTCGTTGCATGTGGAACATAAGATCACCGCCACGCACAAATTCGATAACGAAGAAGAGACGTGACGGTGTCTGGAAGCACGAGTGTAGACCCACCAAGAAGGGATGATTGGATGCTGTCTCGAAGACATGCTTCTCCGTTTGCACCCAATCGATATCTTCATCGTCGGTGACGAGCGCTTTCTTAATCACTTTCATAGCATATATGCGTCCGGTATTCTTCAGCTCAACCATTAGCACCTTGGCATAACTGCCGCGTCCAATAACACGTATTAATTCGAAATCATTAATCGAATATTGCCGTTGTGTGCCCGGCTCTAGTTGTTCTTCGATATTCTGATGTTGCTGCTGTTGTTGATGCAATTGTGCATCATGCGCTTGTAATTCAAGCGCTGCCAACGGATCACTACCATCCACCATGCCACCACCAATATGTCCACCGGCACCCGCTTGCGCTGCATATTCGGGCAATGGTGGCAATACTTGTGGCAGCGCTTCGGCGAAATTGTCGTCACGCTCCTGTACTAACGGTTCCACATGTTCGTTGGTGCAGTGCTTCTGTACGAGTTTATGGCATTTTTTGTGCACCAGCAGCTTGCATTGGATGCACTTGAAACCTTGCCGACCCAAACCCCAAATACGATCCTGACAGTAGGCACAAAAGGCGCGCTGCAGGAAGGAGAGAGAGAGAGAAATATAAATTAATTTCACATTAAATTTCAAAAAAAAAAAGAAACTAATTAACAAACAAACCCGATTGAAACGTTTAGCTTGGAAAATGTGTCCATTGACTCGGTATAGTTTGCGCCATCTGCGTGCGCCACGTCTGTAGATGCTGCCTGTGTGTGGGGTAAGGAAATGTAAGGTCTGAGTGAAAATTCAAACTAATTTATAAGAGATAATTTTTTCTATGGCAAGAAAAAATATAGAAAATGTATATTTTTTGATGTTTTACTTACGATCTTCGCCCTCACAGGACATGCCAGGTGCAGGAGGTACATTTGGAAATACTGTAAAACGTGAGGAAAACATGTGAAAAATTATTAAGGGGCTATTGAAAAGTATTTAATGAACAAATGTCAGCATTATATTCAAAATACATAGATGCAGAAAATTAAATAAACTATGCTGAACATATGCATATATACTATATACATTTTTCTAAATTCACAAAAAATAAATATTTAAAATATAAGAAAATATTTCCATTTCGAAGAGCATACACTTCCATAGCTATATTTTTAAAGTAATAAAAAAAAGTTTGGAAAATACATAAAAAAAATATTTTTTACCAAAATTCACACGCTCGCTCAACTGTTCGAAACTATTCAACTTTTTGCAAAAAAAACAAAAAAAAAAGACACAAAGAATTTTGTTTGCCAAAAACCAAGTGAGTGCATTTGAACTACAACAATTCTTAAAAACAATTATTAATGCGATTTCTAAGCATCAAAGATGTTGATTGTTTACTCTAGACGCGAGAGTATAGCACCCTTTAATTGTATTTAATCACAATTTATGCGATTTATATGCTAAAGAGCTTATTTCCCCATACGCCAACTCAATATTAATTAAAGAGCTAAGCCAACCGCAATCGTCAAACAAACAACTTCCTTTCTTGCGTTTCCAATGAAAAAATGAGGGAATTAATGAACAATGTCAAATGCTAGGAACCTGCATACATATGTACATACAAACGCTATGTAGTACATACATACGGATGTATTATTGTATTATTGTATACGTACATCGTAAAGTGTTTTTGTGTATTATGGGGTGGCCTAAAATGAATTTTTATTCAAAAAAAAAAAATACTTGGACAAATTGAGCAACAAGTTTAATAAAGAAAATTAATAAATAAAATAAAATAGACAAATTAAAAAAATTTAATTGAAGTAGAAAATTTTAAAAGTTCTTTTTCTAACACAATGTTTGTTTTTTGTAAAGTTTATAAAATATTAATATCTCAAAAAAGGTAAAAAGAATATTAAAAAAACATGAATAACATTAAACTATTAAACTAATTATGTTATTATTTTTTCTAAATTTTCAGTGAATAATTTTCATTATTTTTTCGAAGAGAAGAAAATTGTTTCTCTGCCTGTGTATTTTTATATTTAATTATATATTTATAAACAAGCAATAAAAAAATTATGATTAAAATATTAACATGAAAGAAATAAAAATATAAATAATTAAAACAAAAATTAAAAAAAGAAGAAATCAAAATATACATATACATTTATATAAGACAAATCATTAAAGCCAGATAATTATGCTAGAGCACATCCATTAGACAGAATCTTTGCTAATATAACCTTAAAACTTAAAACAAAAAACATTTTATGCTTTCACAGGCAGTAATTTGTATGAAGTTTAACAAATTTCGTTGTAATCATTTGTCACCATTTTCAAAAACCATCAACATTGAGCAAAAAAGGCATTTAAAGTTTTGCATGAGCGTTTTGGAACGTCTATTAAGTGAAAAGCAAATTCACTTCAAATTTCCCCATAATATTTTTAAGATATTAAAAATAATAATAATTAATTATCAGCTTATTTAGCGTAGCGTTTTCAATAAAATTTTTATTAAAGATCGTGTATTTTTATATTCATATTTTATTTATAATATTTTTTACGTATAATAATAAAAAATACAATAAATTTAAAATAAAGAAAATATGAAAAAAATAAAGAAAATATGAAAAAAGAAAAAATATTTTATTTTATAACTTTCACACACTTTAATAAATAGCACAATAAATAAAAAAAAAAATATTTTAATCAGAGCACGTCAGAAGGAACCTGAAATGTTTATTAATAAAAAATTGAGTAATTTAAGTTTTTTCAAATAAATTTCAACAAATAATAGTAATATTAATAATTATAACAAAACAATAATGATAATACCAAGTAATCAATAAATACATTTATTTTATTTGTATTTAAAAAAAAAAGGTAAGTTGAGCGCCTTCCTTATCAACTCAACTCAACTCAACACACACACACACATACACACACACATAATGAAATGCAGACGCACACATAATTTTACAACAACTATTTGTATTATACTTATGTATATACACGTAGAATTCAAATCAATATTAGATACTTATAGTTAAACATTTGTAGGTAGTTGTTGTTGTTGCTTAGCTGCATAGAAGGGGCGTTAGCACGAGGTGAGAGGAGCAGAAACAGATTCTATATAGTTCTATATAAGGTGTATAAATACATATGTATGTACATATATGTACATATGTGTTAATACAACGCCGATAACACAAATATGGAGTATAATTCGTATAACGGTTAAGTATGTCAATTTTTTCCTTTGGTAGTTTTATACCAAATATTTAGTGAATACAAAGTCTTTTATTAGTTTATAAATGCATGACAAATACTTGCACAGTCAAATTTATATGGAAATATATAAAAACAAAAACAAGTTTTTTTTTTCATTGCAAATATACGCAGCAGACATATGTATATGTGCATATCGTATGTATCTTCATATATGCATGTAAATATATTTATTTATGCATTCAATTGAACACTTTGTTTAAGTAAAATCACTGAACGAGACGAGAAAAACGACTACGACCGGGAAGACGAAGACAACAACAAGATTTTTTGAGCCCTTCTTCTGCTTCGTCTGATTTTTGCGCTTCTTTCTTCTTTCGCCGACAACAACACACCGGTCACCGATTTTTCGTAACTGAAGTGCGTTTGCAAACCATTATCAGTGCGCACCTAAACTACAAATTATGGAGAGTTGCAATCACATCGAATCGCTTTGGGAGTAAAGTGTTCTTCGGTAGTACAGGGAGCGTGAGCGCGCGTCATATTTGAGTATTGATGAGTACTTGTATTGTATATCTGAAATATTGTTTTGAAACAGTTTTTTTTTTTTTGTGGCTTTGTTTGTCTTCGAATGTTCTTCGTTTGCTTACAATCGAATGGCGTTTATTTGTCATTGATTTCCTTATCACTATATCAACGCAAGACACACATATGAGAATACAAAAAGGAAGGAAAAACTCCAACCCAACGTTAACTGGTTGTGAGTGAGTACAGTGCGATGGGTTTGTATACTCTTTCCATAAAAAGCAAAAAAAAAATATCTGCAAAGCACGCATTGGATGTTAGCATGTACATATTTATTGTATATGACTTCATGTGGTTACCAAACAATTGAACAACTGGGAGAGCGAGTGCTTGAAAATATATGGAAGAAAGAAGGAGAGTTAGACAGCTAAAATATTTTTATGCACAAAGAGGTCCCAGAAGAATGTTAACTATCGATTTCGTTGATTAATCACAATTTTTTATATAAGCTCGACCACGGCGAAAACTACTCTCACGCATTTTCTAAATACTCCTACGCTTCAAGGTAATACAAAAATGCCAAAAATTTGGCAGTAAAACCGATTTTAGTGGTATTTTGTGCACAGCGCCACCTTCTGGTAAACAAAATTGTAAACCAAAAATCTAGCCTACATATAGGCGTAAAATTTTGAAGCCAAAAATAGTCAAAAAACCAACACAGTCTACAGAGCAAAAATTGAAGTAATAAATTTAAACAAATCATGCGCTGAAAACGCTACAGGAACTCTGTTCAAGTTTGGTAAACTCTCTCTCCTGCAGAGCATCTTTAATAAATAATATTGTGTTAAAAATTTACAAAATGTTGTAAAATTTACTTTGAATTATTATGTTTTTATCACAATTTGTGCCACCCTCGTGCACTTGGCATAACTAAATTTCAAGCGCACTATTTCTTTTTTTTTTTTTGCTGCTGTCTCGTTACTTTACCAAATATACATACATTAAATTTTGCTTTAAATTATTGTGGTTTTTGTTGGGAATTTTTTTTCTCATTTTTCTTATCTACAGGAACAACGGTCAAATGATTCCTAATTTTTTTTTTCACTTCTATTGAAACAAGGTCATTTCAATTGCTCTTCTAACAACAACAAGACTGGCTGTACAGTACAATTGTGTGCGAAAAGGCAGAAATGATATTATGAGGCAACAAAAACAAAAAAAAAAGCATTGATCGATTGCTACGTTGCCATTTTCATATTTTATTTTAATTTATTGCAGTTAGCGGTTTTAATTTATGTTATAGAAAAGCATTTCCGGTTAATTAAAAAACTAATGAATTTTATGTGAATTATGGAATTTTGTAGGAGAATTTTGAAGGTGTGTGTGTGTGTGTTTTAATTCGAAGGGTGAGCTAGGAAATATTTACTGCTACAGATTAATAGTTAACAGATAGATTTTATGATTTTACAAGCGCTTAAATTTTTATTGTGCTTTGGTGTAGTTTTAGTTATTTAATTTAATTTAATAAATTTTAATTCTAATTTTTAAATTGCTCTTTAAATCTTTTGTTCTTATTAAACAATTATTTCATATCTTTTATTGTCATTTTTACATCTGATTTAAGTTATTTTTATTTTATTATATTTTTTATATTATTTTTTACACGATCTTTTATTTTTTAAATTTATTTATAATAAATATTTCATTTTATATTTTATTAAATATTATTTTTTTATTTTATTTATTTTTTATATAACTTTTTTTCCATTCATTTCATTTTATTTTTTATTTTATTTTTTATTTTTTTTTATTTTTTTTTTTTTNTGTTTTTTTTCATTTTATTTTTTTTTTTTCATTTTATTTTATTTTTTTCCTTTTTTTATTTTATTTTTTTTCCTTTTTTTTATTTTATTTTTTTATTTCATTTTTTTTATTTTATTTTTTTATTTCATTTTTTTTAATTTTATTTTTTTATTTCATTTTTTTTAATTTTATTTTTTTATTTCATTTTTTTGTTTTATTTTTTTATTTCATTTTTTTTTAATTTTTCAATGTTTTATGTATTTCTTTTAATATTTAAATTTTTTTGTAATTTTTTTCTATGTATTTCCTTTACTTTTTTTATTTTTTATGAATTTGTTTTATTTTAATTTTATGTCTTTACTTAACTTATTTATTTCTA